TTAGTTTTGCCTTATGCTGAGGCAGCAAGAATGGTCACTTGTATTTGTTAGCAGGATCCGAGGGACTCCCTGGAAGGTCCTCCAGCCCTGAAAGATCTTCCCTCCCCAGTGCCCAAAACTCCTATTAAAGATTTATTCTGGCAGGGTGCGGTAGCTCACACCTGTAATCCCAGGACTTTGGGAGGCCGAGGTGGGTGGATCATGAGGTCAAGAGTTCAAGACCATCCTAGCCAACATGGCAAAACCCCATCTCTACTAAAAATACAAAAAATTAGCCAGGCGTGGTAGCGCATGCCTGTAGTCCCAGCTACTCGGGAAGCTGAGATAGGAGAATCACTTGAACCTGGCAGGCAGAGGTTGCAGTGAGCCAATATTGCCCCACTACACGCCAGCCTGGCGACAGAACAAGACTCTTAAAAAAAAAAAAAAAAAAGATTCATTCTATACCTTTTTTTCTCAGAGCCCTGTTACAGCTCTAAGCAAATTATTACATGAGTCATTTAGTAACTCATCCACTAGATATCAAGCTGATTTGCAATAGTTAGACAGACAGTGTGCCCAAGAAATAGACTTCTGTGGTTATCCATTACTAAAATTTTAAAGGTGTTTGTTACTGCATAACATAACATAACACGGCCTACTCTGATACAGAAATTGTAGGAGAAGAGAATACGAATTCAAGATTTGACTACCAAGGGATTCTGTGTTTGTCAGGATTTTGGATGTTGATGACTCAAGTCTTGCGCCTCAGTGTGTAGTGAGAAACCCACGGCACCAGCATCGCCAGGGAGCCTGCTAGAACTACAGACTCTTGTGCACCACCTGAGACCAATTCAATTAGACGCTGCCCTTTAACAAGATCTCCAGGTGATTCAAATGAATGCAGAAGTTTGAGAAGGCAGGGGTCTACAGACAACTGGAAATGAAATTCTGAAGCACCTGAAATAAATCTGGGCACTAGGTATAACAGTGAGTGCCATCCATCAGCACAGGCTCCAAAGTGTGATCTCCAGACCAGGAGTATCACATCACCTGGGGACTTTTTTAGACCCGCAGTGTCGTGGGATTCAACCAAGACCTACTGAATTGGAAACTCTGTAAGTGGGGCCCAGCAGTTTGAGTTTTGACAACCCTCCAGGGAACTGCCATGCATGCTACAGTTGGAGAATTGCTGCTATATGTCAATGAAAGCTGAAATTATAGCAGTTAATTCTCTCCCTCCTGAAAGAAGAAAGACGTAAAACACAAATGGTTATAATAATTGTTCCTATGAGAAAATATGATCTGCATTATGATACTGAGCTTTATGATACATCTTCTAGAATGCACGCTGGGTGGATCAAGGTCTGGCCATAGACTGTTTTCACTACTGTGGTGGCTGTGTATGACAGACACACCTGACAGCAATGACTTGAGCATCCCCTGACAGAGACCTTGTATGGCAGATGCAGCTGAATGTGTTCAGAGTTTGCAACTAAGGAATCTGGGAGTGGCCAACCTGGAGACCCACTGCTCTTCTATGAGGAACAGCTGAGCCCCTGGCGCTTCCCAGGCAATGCCATGGAACACGAGCCACACAGGGGATGGATGCATTTTGTTTCAGGTTAAATGAAGGTTGCCAGGTGGAGGCTGTTAGGGGGAGAATGTTAGATGAAAATGCTTTGTAAATTACATGCCTTTTGCAAGTGGTTGTGGTTCTCCTGTCCAGCCTTCTGCCACTGGACTCTTTCCCCTGTATGCAAGTCCCCAGTAAAACCCCAGGTCTCGTTGGCTGGTTCTGGGTCTCTTCAGCCTCCTGAACTTGTGCCATCCCCACTGGAGTGGACAAGGGTTCTGTACAACATGTGGTGATTGCTCAGGTCTGCTTCCCTCTCAGGTGAAAGCAGTAGGATGGTGTTCGGAATAAAGAGGAAAGGGATATAGCGAAGGGCCAGGCAGGGAGGTGGGTGTCATAAGCCTGCTCCACATTTTGCTGGTCCTGGTCCAGGCCTGACTGCAGGTGGAGCACTGTGACAAGTGCTGCCAGACATCTCCAGTGCAGGCCTCCCTGGGATCCAGTTTCTCTCCCTTTTATCAAAAATTCAATAGAGCCAGGCACAGTGGTTCACACCTGTAATTACAACTCAGGAGGCTGAGGTGGGAGGATCACTTGAGTCTACAAGTTTGAGGCTGCAGTGAGCTAGGATTGCACCACTGCACTCCAGCCTGGGTGACAGAGTAAGAGTGAGAATCCATCTTTAAAAAAAAAAAAAAAGAATGCAGTAGAGTAAGAAAGAGAAACTGTAGACATGACCCAAGAATCTGCACAGCCACGGGCTAAGCCACACAGTGTCTCTGACCATGGATCATTCCGGAACGCCACAGACCCAATGCATTCATGCATTGTTCATTCATTCACATTTTCAGCCCATATTTGCTGAGAGCCTTTTTTGTCTAAGGCCTGGAAAGCCAGTGGAAAGGCCTCTGGTTCTGGGGCTTAGGGAAGGGAGGGAGTGGTAACCCAGTGAGGAAAGTCACAGTTCTTCCTCAACCTGAGAATCTCAACTGGACCACCTCTCCTCCCACTTCACAGAAAAGGCAGGCTGAGGCTGAACCTCCAACACATTGCTTTGTGATTTCCCAGTTTCACTTTGCTCTTTTGCAAAGCAGAGACTGAGAAGACCAAGGAGGAAGACGCATTCATAGTGGAACATGGAGTATTTTCATCCCCACAGAGCCTCCTACATAGGCTGTGCGCTAACTCCTCATTTCACATGGAGGGAGGTGATCTATCCATCTCGGGTGGGGGCCGACAGCTCTGGCAGAAAGTCAGAATCACCCGTGAAGCCTGCAGCAATCTCAAACCCCGGGCCACTCCTCGGACCAATGAAGTCAGAGTCCCTTTGGTTGGGACCCAGGTACTGGTATTTTAAAAAATTTTGCAGGTGATTCTACAGCACAAGCATGGCTGGAAACGACCATTCCAGGGAGGGTCTCGGGTCCCAGGTCTTGCTTCTTTATGGAGCTGAATGTCATCCCCTGAAGGTCAAAGGTCTGGATTCCCAGGATTCTTAGCTCAAATTTTTCAATTTCAAGAGTTTGTTTTGTATTCAAAGTGAGCTATTACATTTAAGCTATTGTGTCGTAATGTATACTCAATTTATTTTTTATTTACATAAATGTTACTAAACTTCAGATGCAGAATGTTTAGCCAAAAGAACAATTTTTTTCTTCCTGATATAACAAAGTATGCTGGTAGTAGGACTACTTTTTAATGAATAATTTCATTCGCGACACAATCAGCATGGTCAAAAGTTGTTATTACGAAGCCTTAGTAGAGGGAATGCAGCTATTTGCGTGATACAATGTCAGTAGTTTGGGCAGGTGGTGATCAGACTTTGGTTTACAGGATGGGAAATTTACAGGGCCTGGGGAATGAGACGGACCTCCGCCAACCATTACTTTGCTCTTAACATCTGTTCCCACAATTTTATTCCTTCTGCATTAAAATTTACGATGGGCTTTACTTGGCAATTTTACAATAGATTAAAAGTTGCTAAAATTACTGTGTTGGCAATACTGTTGCAGTTGGCATCAGATCCTCTAACATCTCTAAATATCTTTAACCTAAGAAAAGTTCATTCATATTCATGGTGAAAGAGAAAGGAGAGGTGGACTATGCCTACGTTCTTATAGACTCATGAAAATTCTTTCCTATTTTAGTGTTTTGAGAGTGAGGATCAGCAGCGTAGGCATCACCCAGGAGCTTATTAAAAAGCAGAATCTTGGCCAGGCGCAGTGGCTCATGCCTGTAATCTCACCACTTTGGGAGGCCAAGGTGGGCGGATCACCTTGTTCGGGATTTCAAGACCAGCCTGAACAACATGGAGAAACCTCATCTCTACTAAAAATACAAAATTAGCCAGGCATGGTGGCAGGTGCCTGTAATCCCAGCTACCCGGGAGGCCGAAGCAGGAGAATTGCTTGAACTTGGGAGGTGGAGGTTACGGTGAGCCAAGATCGTGCCATTGTACTCCAGCCTAGGCAATAAGAGTAAAACTCCATCTCAAAAAAAAAAAAAAAGCATGTGTGCCTGTAATCCCAGCTACTCAGGAGGCTGAGGCAGGAGAATTGCCTGAACCCAGGAGGCGGAGGTTGCGGTGAGCCGAGATCGCGCCATTGCACTCCAGCCTGGGTAACAAGAGCAAAACTCCGTCTAAAAAAAAAAAAAAAAAAAAAAAAAAAGCAGAATCTTGGGTCACAATCCAGGCCTGACAAACCAGAAACTGCAATAAAGCTCCACGGATGACCCATAAACACAGAAGATTTAACCACCAATTTAGCACATCTTTGCTTCTTAGGAAAGAGGAGCTAATCAAATCCATACATGGGGGTTAGAGATGGTCATAGATGTGAACAGTCTTTGATAACAAAGCAGCTCAAAATCTGAGCTAAAAGTCAGTTGTAAACACTTCCTTGATTATAAAAAGGTTGTTGAGACTAGTATAAAGATGACACAAATCAACTCACCTTTTATGCTGGTGATGTCCATTTGTTACAATATGAATTTGGCCATAATGATATATTAGTAGTAAACAGACACATTGCTTTTTTTTTTGGCAAATGGCGTACTTAAAAAAAAAAACACCTGTCTACTATTAATAAGATTATGGAGAGAGAAGAATTGTTCTATACTGTGATCCAGTAAGAGCAGGCATCCCCAAACTTTTTACCCAGGGGGCCAGTTCACTGTCCCTCAGACTGTTGGAGGGCCGCCACATACTGTGCTCCTCTCACTGACCACCAATGAAAGAGGTGCCCCTTCCTGAAGTGCGGCGGGGGGTAGGATAAATGGCCTCAGGGGGCCGCATGCGGCCCGCGGGCCGTAGTTTGGGGACGCCTGAGTTAGAGAGACAACCTACACAGGTTATAAGTCTCATTTTTAGGAGGTCTCCTACAATAAATGCTTCTGTTGCCTCTTTGATTTCCGTCTTGCCCTGGCTCTCAGGACACTCTCTTACCTCATGGGGTTGTTGGTACTGAGAGGCCATCAGAAGGAATGCCCGCTGTGCCTGGAAAGCGCTGTGCACCATTTCTGCCTGGGAACAAAGAGGAAGATGGCAGTTTCAATGTTTAACTCCTAAGCATCGTTACCATATAATCCGCCAATTCTACCCCACAGGTACATACCCAAGAAAAATGAAAACATATGTTCACACAAAAACTGATAAATGAATGTTCATAACAGCATCATATAATAACCAAAACATGGGAACAACCTGACCATCCATCAACTCATGAACCAATAATGTGATATACCCATACAGTGAAATATTATTCAGCATTAAAAAAAAAAAAAAGGTACTGACACCTGCTATGACGTAGGTTACCCTTGAAAACATTATGCTTAGTAAATGAAGCCAGTCGAAAAAGGGCACATTTGTATAACCCCATTTATATAAAATGTCCAAGAGAGGCAAATCTATAGAGACAGAAACCACTATAGATGAGTGGGTGCCAGGGCTGCTGGGAGGGAGGAATGGGGAGTGAACCGCTAATGGATACAGGTTTCTTTTGGGGGTGGTAAAAATGTTCGGGAATTAGACAGTGATGATGGTTTCACAAGTTGGTGAATATACTGAATCATACACTTTAAAAGGATGAATATTATGACATGTGAATTATATTTCAATAAAGTTAAAAAATGTTTGAGCCTCAAAGTACGCTTGTTTTCAAAGGCTGTCTCTCTCTTATCTTCTTTCATACTGTGCCCAGATTCTATTTTACACCTTCTAGCGGAAATTGTGTATTTTCTTCAATGGTCCCTTAAGCCGTCCCCATGCAAATATGCTCACTGAAAGCCAGGGGCTTCTAATCATTAAGATGGGCCTGGGAGAGATTTCAGTGGCATTCGGGCCCTGGTAGAAGGGGCCCCACCTGCACTAAACACCCCATAAGGATACATGCAAGCAGGAATGCCCTCACCCTCTACTCATTCAACTAATTTGTTAATTTTTGTTTATTTTTTGGTTTTTTGTTATATTAATTTTTTAAACTAAAAAAAATTACCTAAGTGTACAAAGAAAAAACATCCAGGTCACCTAGAATTAACCATTTTGACATTTTTTTTCTAGTTTTTAAGAAAATCCAGCTGGGCGCGGTGGCTCAAGCCAGTAATCCCAGCACTTTGGGAGGCCAAGGCGGGTGGATCACAAGGTCAAGAGATCGAGACCATCCTGGCCAACAAGGTGAAACCCTGTCTCTACTAAAAATACAAAACATTAGCTAGGCATGGTGGCGCGTGCCTGTAATCCCAGCTACTCAGGAGGCTGAGGCAGGAGAATTGCCTGAACCTGGGAGGTGGAGGTTGCGGTGAGCCGAGATCGCGCCATTGCGCTCCAGCCTGGGTAACGAGCAAAACTCCACCTCAAAAAAAAAAAAAAAAAAAAAGAAAAAAGAAAAAAAAGAAAATCCATGTAGTTATTCGGCTGGGCATGGTGGTTCATGCTTGTAATCCCAGCACTTTGGGAGGCCGAGGTGGGTGAATCATGAGGTCAGGAGTTCAAGACCAGCCTGGCCAACACAGTGAAACCTCGTCTCTACTAAAAATACAAAAATTTACTGGATATGGTGGCAGGTGCCTGTAATCCCAGCTACATGGGAGACTGAGGCAGGAGAATCGCTTGAACTCGGGAGGTGGAGGTTGCAGTGAACTGAGATCACGCCACTACACTCTAGCTTGGTAACAGAGTGAGACTCCATCTCAAAAAAAAAAAAAAAAAAAAAAAAGCACGCACACACACACGCAAGAAAAGAAAATGCATGCAGTTATTCTTGTAAGATAAAGTGTATTAACTTAAAATAATTTTTTCTCATGCAGAAAGTTTAAAAGATTAGGCAAAGCATGGCGGCTTACGCCTGTAATCCCAGCACCGTGGGAGGCCAAGGTGGGCAGATTACCTGAGGTCAGGAGTTCGAGACCAGCTTGGCCAACATGGTGAAAGCCTGTCTCTACTAAAAATACAAAAATTAGCCAGGCATGGTGGCTTGTGCCTGTAGTCCTAGCTACTTGGTAGGCTGAGGCAGGAGAATCATGTGAACCTGGGTGGCAGAGGTTGCAGTAAGCCAAGATTGTGCATTTCAGACTAGATGACACTGCGAGACTGTGTCTCAAAAAAAAAAAAAAAGAATGTTTCAAAGATTAGAGGTTTTTTTTTGTTTTTTGCCTGTTTATTTTAGAGACAGGGTCTCACTCTGTCACCCTAGCTGCAGTGCAGTGTGCAATCCTTGTTCACTGCAGCCTCCAACTCTTGGACTCAAGCAATTCTCCCACCTCAGCCTCCTGAGTAGCTGGGGCCACAGGTGCACACCACCACATTTGGCTTTTAAACTTTTTTAGTAGAGATGGTTCTTGCTATGTTTTCCAGGCTGGTCTCTAACTCCTGGGCTCAAGCAATCCTCCTGTCTTGGTCTCCCAAAGTGCTGGGATTAAAGGCATAAGCCACCACACCCAGCAAACATTAAAGTTTTTAAAAAATGCTTCACAACCTAGAAATAATCATTGAATATTATTGTAATTACCTTTTAAGAATATATGCAGAGAGACTTAGAAAATGGGGTCATACCTAGTGCTACACTTTTAAAAAAATTTATTTTTAAAATTTAAAATTTTAACCACCATTGAGTAAAAAAGCATATATTTTAATTATGATTGAATAGCAGAGATGAAAAAGAACTGTTAAATCTCAAAGAAAAGTTTCTGCACCGTAATTTTTTATGTCCTTAATGATCATTCTAAGGTTAAAGAAAAGATGATTAAAATGTGGAGATTGGGAAAATTATGTGTTTGCAATCTAAATGACATAATTGTAGATAGTATAGACTGACTTCTTGCTGGGAAAGATGAGAACATAAGTACTTACATTGTTTTTCACCTCTGATCCCTATCTTCCATAGTTTTTAGTTATTTTTGTTTTGTCCAAACTGATAGCATTCATATTCTATCTGTAATATTACTGTACATAGTTGTGAAGTATTAGTATACGTCTGCATTTAAGCAAACCTAATGATTCTCACCATAATTTCTCCATTTTTGAGTTATTCTGATTTTCTTAATTGGCCAGACATTCATTACTGTGTATTTTCTTCCACAAGGTCCCAAAGCTGTTTTCATTCTTTTAGGTTGAAGCATGTCTCCCTGTTGTCTTTATATTTTAACATTTTGATGGGATGTAATATCCTTGGGTCACTTACTCTCTCCATTTTCAGAGAGCATGGCCCCAGATGTGGCAGTGGTAAAGTCTGAGACTAGCTTGATTTTTTTCTCCCTTGTAGGAAGTTGACTTATTCTGATTTGATAAGTCAAGAATTATTTCTTTATTCTTAAGGTTTAATAGCTTAACTAAGATATGTTTGTATTTTGAACATTCCATATTACATTTCCTGGAATAGATTTGGTCCTTTCGCCATTTCTGGGAAATTTTATTGTATCTTTCAACATCTCTTCTGTTCCTTTTGTTAGAGTCTCTATTCAGGGACCCAGTTATCATCCTCATAGTGTAGAATATTTGAATGTCTTCATATCTTTTAGAGTCTCTCTGTCTTTAATCTGCTTGTTTGTTATCTGTATTCTCTGTGATTATAAGAATACTTTGTCTATTGTTAGTAAACTTTCAGCAGGTCTCATACATGTCAACATTTCTAATTTATATATCATTTTTGCATCAATGTGCTTAATTCTTGATTTGTCAGACTTTCAATTTCCATTTTAATTTCCTTCTTATCACCTTGTCTTAGGCTATTTAAAAAATACTTTTTATACTCTTGTTAAGTTCTAAGAGTACAAGTTATCTTCTTACTAAGCCATTGTGAGGAACCTGTCTGTGTTCCTTAAGTCCTGTTATCTTCAAGGGTAAGCCCACATCCTTCTACTCTGCATGCTAGCCTCCTTTCTGACACATTAATTGCAGCTGCCACATTGGCTGTTTCCATCTTGCACATATTTTAATTTTTTCAGGTAATTTAATTTTTCTGATAAAATGTAGGGGATTCCTTGCCATGATACTGGAGATCAGCTCCTTCGCCCTTTCAAGCAAGAATCTGAAGGCTAAATTCTTTAAGGCCTGATAGAAGAGGGATAGGAAGAATTTGGCTTCGGTGATGTCCAGTCTTTGCGTCTTCAAGTGCTGCTCATTCTTCTGGGAATTTGCTATATGCCCCAAACCAGGGTTCACGCCACCTACTTGGAACACGCGCCATTCGGATGGAATCGTCCCTTGTGACTTTAGATCATTTCTCTGATTCAGAACCTAGACATGAGGATTTTACATCTATAAACAGAAGCAGTCCATGGAGTTCTTTTCTTGCTTCATATTCTCCTTTCCTGATTTCATTTCCCCTAAGGAATTTCTTTAAAGGGTGTTGGGGGCAGGGTTAGAAATCAAAAGCCACTCAGCCACCAGTTACTAAAATGTCTTGCTTTAGGTCAGGCGTCCCCAAACCGCGGCCCCCTGAGGCCATTCCCCCCACCCCCAGCCCCCGGCGCACTTCAGGAAGGGGCACCTCTTTCACTGGTGGTCAGTGAGAGAAGCACAGGATGTGGCGGCCCTCCAACGGTCTGAGGGACAGTGAACTGGCCCCCTGTGTAAAAAGTATGGGGACGCCTGCTTTAGGTTATTGGTCTTTTGTTTGCTTGAGTGAGCAAACACCTTACTATTACTGAGGTGTTTAACTTTGTGGGGAGGGAAAAATCCTGTGATTTGGTTTTATTTGGTCATGAGTCTATATTCTTCTATATATAATTTCATTTTTAATCTCCTCCTTGTTAGCTCCACATCTGTTTATGGGCAGTTTCTAGCCCTCTGCAATCTTGGATATGACTGACTTCTCTAACAGATAGGGAAGAACCAGCTCAGTACATTTTCAAAAACAGATATCCAAAATAACAACAGGAAGATCAGGTTGATTTCATCCCCATGTCAATATCGGATAATTTCCTGGGCTGGAAGGGTAAATGTGTTAACTAACTGAAAAATGACTAGTTTTTGTCAAACCACTTCATATTAACGTTCCGGCATCTGACAAATGTTCCAGAACATAA